AGAGGCCGCGGCGGGAGGGGATTGAAGGGATTTGAGGGAAGCTGGAATTGCCGGTGCTGGGAAGGGGAGGAGGGAAAAGCGGGACAGAGGGAGGGGAGAGGGAGGGGAAGCTCCGGCCCCTCCCCCCGGGGCGGGATTTGGGGGATTTGGGTTTTTCGGGAGCGGCCGGAGATTCCCGGAGCGGCTCCCGGGGCTTGGAATTGGCGGAGAGAGACGGGAGCGGAGGGAACCGGGAACGGGAACCGGGAACGGAGGGACCGGGAACGGGAACCGGATCGGGATGAGGCTCCCGGAGATTCCCAAGGGTCGGTGGATTCGGGATTTAGGGTTTGGGATTTGGGGTTTGGGATCAGTTCCAGGAGGGGTTTAGGGATTCGAGAACTGGCGGTGCCGGGAATGGAGGGAACCGGGAACGGGATCCGAATTGGGATGAGGCTCCCGGAGATTCCAAAGGGTCGGGGGATTTGGGATCAGTTCCGGGAGGGGTTTAGGGATTTGGGAATTGGCGGTGCCGGGATCGGATGGAATCGGGATCGGGATGAGGCTCCCGGAGATTCCAAAGGGTCGGTGCTGCCCCTTTCCGGAGGGATTTGGGATTCGGGATCAGTTCCGGGAGGGGTTTTAGGGGTTCGGGAATTGCCGGAGCGAGCTGGGATCGGGATGCGGCTCCCGGAAATTCCCAAGAGTTGGCTTCCCCTGTCCGGAGGGATTTGGGATCGGGATCAGCTCCAGGAGGGATTTAGGGGTTCTGGAATTTCCTGTGCCGGGTGAGATCAAAGAGAGCCGGGATTGGGATTTGGCTTCAGGATTTTCCCAAGGATTGGTGCCGCCCGTTCCAGAGGGATTTGGGATTTGGGGTTTAGGATGTGCCCCTGGAATACCAGAGATGTCTGGAAAGGGGATTTAAGGATTTGGAAATTATGGGAAAAAGCCAGGATTGGAGGGAACCGGGGTTGGGATTCGGCTCCAGGATTTTCCCAAGGGTCGGTGCTGCTGCGTTCTGGAGGGATTTGGGGTTTGGGATTTAGGATTTGGGATTTGGGATTTGGAATTCTGGATTTGGGATGAGCCCCTGGAATACCAGAGATGTCTAGAAGGGGAATTTAGGATTTCTGAAGGGGATTTAGGAATTCTGGAATTCCCAGTGCCAGAGGGAAAAGGTGGGAAAGTCCCAACCTCCCCGAATTCCCCTTGGAGAGGGAATTTCATTCCCAGGATTTCCCCCTTGAGGGCGATTTTGGGGGAGAATTTTGGAATTTTGGGAGGAATTTAGGAATTCTGGGGGGAATTTTGGGATTCTGGAATTCCCAAATTTTTTCCAGCAGGGAAAATCTGAGAAAGTCCCGACCCTCCCTGAATTCCCCTTGGAACGGGATTTTTTTTCCCGGGATTTTTCTCCAAAATCCCAACCTTTCCCGTTTTGGTTTGGTTGGTTTTTTTTTTCCCGGGATTTTCTCCCAGAATTCTTTTTTTTTGGGGGGGGGATCCTGGGAAAGAGCGGGAACGGCCCCTCCCGACCTTTCCCACCGGGAATTCCAACCCTCCCCTCCCCCTCCCCCCGGGGGAATTTTTGGGATGTTTGGGAAGCGCCGGAGCCGCTCCCAGGGCGATTTCCCGGGAGCGGTTCCCGGGAATTCCGAGGATTTTTCCGGTTTTTCCGGAGTTTGGAAATCGCATTCCCAGCTGCTTCCCGCACGGATTTTTTTTAAAATTCTGTTCCGAGAAAAAAAAAA